AGTTACGAGTAATAGAAATATTTACGTCTAGGGTTCGTTTTACGAATCGTCACTGTTACTGTTACGGGGAACGAGGAATGTAGAAGAACGCGAGAAATCATTTTCGTACGTACGATGGACAAGGAAACGTTAGAACAGATACCCAGAAAAAATACCCTCGTCCCCTTAACCTCTTAGTCACGATGCGCCACCTACAGTGGCTCAATCCAGTAGCTCACTCTAGTGGCTCGTTCGTTCACTGTTCGAGTTAAGTGATCGTGTTCATATTTTGTCTCAGACTATTTTTGCCTTCACAACGTTTTATAACAGTGTTAACAATATACGAACAGAGTATATACAGTGTTTGTATCGATACGCCAGTGTCAGTGTCAATGTACCCGCGCAGAGAACAGTATTGTCCCGCGCAAAATTCAGCCGTGCCTAAGAGGTTAAGTAGTCTTTGAGTCGTTGATCGGGAGAAAAGATTTGGCGCATTGTGGTCGTCGCGACACGGTCGACAAGCCCCGCGTACAAGGCGACAGCCACGACGCGATTAAGCGACCCGTAGTTCTGATTATCTGTCGTTTTATGAATTTGTTTAATGATATGCATTATCGTGTATCGTCGTGCGCGCAGTAACGCCTGTATTTACGATCGCGCGCCGGGGCACCGTATCCGCGGCGTTTCCGAGATTTACTCGATAAGCCCGTTGACGCGTTCAATTCAGACTTATGAACTAGACGAAGGCATTCACAAGCGGAGTTTCTTCGCCGCGTCGCACGACACGGTCGCAACAATGCCAAGCCAGCCTCTCGTGTATGGATCCCGGGATCCCAGCGTCATAAATTTCTCGCCGTACTGTGAACTTCTACGTATCTGATACGTGTCTCGAATTTCCCTCGGGTCTGAACTTTCGTCCGATGCTGGTTAGAGAGTTTACACGTATTTTCGTTCGACACAAAAGGTACAAATTGCGAACGCTTCAAATGTCAGCGCTGCACGGGGGACCCCCGAAGCTAGGCCGCGTCGTCCTACTTTTACACGTCGAGTTTCATCGGGCGAAAGAGACCTTTGGGCTTCCGCTTCCGTTCGATTCGCATCTTCCGCCATTTTGGTGCTCGAAATATTCAAGTGTTTTAATTCTACGTTTCTTTTGCATTTTCTCTGGTTGGAAATGTATCCGCTGGATGGCGTGGCGATCTAGTATGTATTTTCTATCGACCAATGCTCGCTCGTTCAGTTCTCCTACAGTTGGGTTAGTATTAATTTGTATTCTAATATCTCTGACAATGTCTTTTGCTATCTCGACGTTGGACATTGAGAGTCGCTGCTCCGCCGCGTCGAGCAACTATTAATAACACAAGTCGCATTATGCACGGTTATCCGTAATTAACGTAACAACTGTCGTTAAACGAGAGGTGGCTAATAACGTCGAGGTACATTTTGCGAGGAAAGCGGCTATTTTTAGAAGGAAAGAAAGTTACTTCGCCGGAGGAGGGGGAAGTTATCTCAGCCGGTCGGTATTGGCTGTCGCGCGGTGAAACCTACCTTTTTGCGTTACGGGGGGAGGGGGAAAAATGGCATCAAATACGTAATAACGATAATTAATGACCGGCGGTGTACAGGAAATGTCGTTAAAAGGAATGCCCGTATACTCGTTCGCGACGTTATGAATGTACGAGCGCGCGTCGGTGCACTTGCGTTTAGAGGACGCTCGCTTCATAAATTTCTTCGTTACTTCGCGAGAACGTCGCGAGAGAACTTAACATGTCGCCGACTTACGTATCCTCTCGTTCGACCCTTGAAGACTTATCGAGTACATAGATCCGTGCCCGGCCCCGTACTCGTCGAGTTCTCGTATATACGCCGTTTATAAATCTGTCGTCGCGGCGGTTGGCGACTCCAGCGGACGACCTCGCGAGAGGAGCTGGGTTTGGACCCGCGTAGAACTCGATCCGCGGACCGCGGCGACTGGTTCGGTTCGCTCGAAGTGAACTGGTTGCCCGAAATTGATGGGACTCCTAAACGGTCGGCGGACGATGATCGAGAGGCGTTTTGCGGCCTCGACGAGATCGTATCTTCGCGAGAAATTGCGTTGCGTCACCGTTCGCGCCCGATATCACGACGTTTGAAACGCGAGACATTTTCTGGCGTTGTTCGAACCTGTCCGCGACGCGATCGCTCGGGTTTCTGGTGTCTTCGCGCGCCACCTACAACCTACGAGCGTATTAATCGAAACCCCGTGACAAAATAGTCGTCTATGGTTATTGAAAATCGAAACGATGTCTCGAAGCAATTAAAAAGTACGCAAAATTCGTATTCTCTCGTGCAACATCGGTCCAGTCGACGTTCCATAAATCAACGTACTCGCGTAAAATTAAACGCGCGAGCGTTTTACAAGAACCGCGGTGGCGTGGATTGAAAATAATTCTCCGTTTCCTTCCATCGGAGAGGAATTAATTAGGCCTCCACGAAATCGAGACTTAATTTTTGGACAACTGGAAACTAACATACCCACAATTTGTCATGGAACTTATTTTTACGAACTTCGTTAGAATTCAAGATTTATTTTCTTTAATATATAATCTTGAGTTTGCGCGGGAAAAAATTTAACATCGACGTTCTCGCCTCAGAGTGATTCCGCCATTTTGAAAGGCTCGGTAAAGCGCGGTCGAGAGCTACTTTTACGTTTTTCGACGAACCCAAACGAGCAAAAAAAAATTGCCAAACTTATTTTTAGACCCTTCGAGGGTGGCGTTGGTGCGTTAATTGAATTTTCGTCGATTCGCCGCGCGAGTGGGCGTAAGGTATAATGGACACGCGGAATCGGGAATGGAACAGCCTTGCGTCATTAGCCACGATAAAAGTATTCCCTTACCGGTACACCACACCTCCTGTCGACAGCTCCGCAGACGCGAGAAGCACGCTAGGCGGTTTCACGAAGCGCCTGGCTCGTTTCGTTCTGTTTCAACCCTGCAATTTTGCGTGAAGCGAGATCGCGCCGTACCTATCGGCCCGTAATTACACGCTTCAACGACCTAGCGCCTCGAAAAATAACCTATAAACCGATTTCCCCCCGTAGGAGGGAAGATTCGACGATACCGAGCTTCTCCTGGGCGTTGCCTGCTAAATAGCAGGTTTTTTTCATCCGAGTTCCCGGAAAAATTCATCTGAAAATCTATTCACACCTGCAGCCGTCAATCTCGCGGCAGTAAACACTTCCACCACCCATAAAAACACGTTTCTTTATTTCACTTTTACTTTAGGAATTTATTTTTCAATAATACAATATTTCGAATATAATGAAGCTAAATTTTGTATTAAAATTATTTAATAAATTTTTTTTAAAAATTTAATTACGAAAATATATTTTAAAAATTTCATATCGATTCTTTATATCGCGCAGTCGGGTAGAAACAAGTGTGGATCGATGCGAGCAATAAGTGTTAATACGAGTGGAAAGTTGCACGTTTCTTTGTCCGTCGATCGATCATTAATGCGGATGGTCTGGTAAAATTAAAGCAGCGCGAACGCGCGTTTGAATAACGAATAAGCGATCCGGGTTACTTTCTAACAGTTGAGAAACACCTGTCAAATTTATCGACGTCAATTGGCCTGCTCGGATAGGAAAAGCGCGCTAATTATCCGCGATCTGTCGTTACGTGCGCGGGGCTACATCAGCCAGTGCAAATAGTCGACTGGTGTTCGATTCTTATTCACTTGGAATTCCTCCCAAGCTATTTATTTTGCCCAAATTCCAGAACGAATTATCTATATTCATTTTCTGAAATTACCCTTATTGGATATCTATACTATTAATAAACAGAGAGCCGATTTTTATGTTCACGCAAAACTCAAGACCTATTGAACCGATCTTCCTCAAATTTTGACACGTTATTCCTGCATACTCTAGGACGGACATAGGCTATGTAGCATGCCTCAGAAGCGCGTTATTAACATGTAATTTATATGCTAAGATTTCATGTGTAGGACCACGTGACCCCTGTATACGACAGTCTACTTGCGTGCGCATGCGTAGCAGTACTGCGATGTTACCGCCAGGTGGCGAAGCTTCTCGAGCGCTTTCTCGCGAGAGAATTGCATTATCGCGGATATATATGTCAGGACGATCGTCTGGTCATAAATTGCTTTTGCACAAGGTCGGGCTAAGCCGTGACGGGGCATGCTAGTTATGGGATATATTCAATACGACATTCGTATAATGATAAACATTTATTAGCAATCAAAATTAGGACTCTGTCTATTGTTTTTAAACATATACGTATCTAGATTCTGTATATTCCTGAATCTATCGGGTGAATTCTTTTATACATCCACCAGGTACAATAACGCCTATTTTACATTAGTCGTTTCAGTTTTGTATTGTATTTATAGGATTTCCAACAACCCTTGCTTATTCTTTACGATCAATTATTACCACCCAATTTTTGTTCGAAATATATTCCCACAGCACGTACGGTTTACAAGTAATTTCATATCATCGGGTTGTATAATTCATAAGCGCGGTAAGAAATTTTTTCAACGTTTCCGAATAATTTCGTTCGTGCTCGATCATCTTCTTTCTTGTCATGCCGTCTGCCTACGCGCCGCATTTAAATACAAAAATCGTACGCTTGATATAAACATCAGGTTGGCCCGACAACGGCGATCGTCGTTTTTTCGGCTGAAAATCAGCGACCAGATTTCTCTGCACGCGCGATTGAAAAGCTCGCGTACAGCCGGTGGGGGATTACGTTTGAACAGAGAAATTATATGGATGATGAATTGCTTTTCACTTACGTAAACCTGTTTCTGCTAAAATTAAGAAACAAACGAGCAGTACTTTCATACCGACCCGGCACCGACGCGAAGACGTGTCGGAAACAGTACACCCGGAGGTGTTAAAAGCAATTTAAAACTCCAACACGTAGCAAAAACTTACAGATATATTTTTTCCCCCGGGTATTTGCGACTGTCGTCGAATGTTTCACGCGTCTAATTCATTTTTATTTTCGTTTCAGCCGTAGTCGTGCGGTATTTGACGAGGCGGTACATCGGCGAGTACAGCTCCACCAGCGGTAAGTTCAGAAACTATTTCGCTAAGAATCTGAGCGTGTTTATCACATCCAATATTTTTGCAAATTAATCAGCCTCTGTTCGGGCAAAGATGAATCACGAATGCACAGATTTTGAATTTTACATTAATAATCCGAGATTGCGTGTTCGAACGGGACGATCGGAGCAACGGGCACAAAAAATGGCCGCCACTTATTCGATCGCGCTCGAGCATTTCGCGTCCTGTCGCAGTTTACGCTGCCCCGATGGCCAGATCGGTATCGTATGGATAATGGCCGAGCTTCGACGTTCAAGGAATCGTTTGACTACGGCGGCAGTCGCTTTCTTTTTCCCCGCAGTTTCGCCCGTTTCGAAATAACAGTCCGGCTCTAAAAGTAATCGTTGCGGTCCGCGAGTACAAATTGAACGATCGCGCGAATGGGCCTGTAAGGGGAGAACAACTTCTTCCCCGCGGAGTATCGAATTCTCGGAATGCGGATCGCCGTATGAGCGCGATTATCTAGACTCCTTACTGCGAGTTCCAGTTCCCTTAAGCTATGCATACCGAGGGTCGTGCCGGGGCAATAAGATTTTCAAGAAGATTTGCGTATCCCACTATTTTTTTCTTCCTACGAAACCCTGTTGGGTCTATCGTGTTTCGCGGCTACAATGCGCGGCCCAAAGAATGGCGAAACATTCCCAAGTATTTTCGGATGCTGAATCGGCCCAGAATATTTCTGAGATACGTGGGAACATTTTAAATATCGAGTTCATAAAGCAGGATGATCGTAATTTTTAGTAGGATTATAAGTTCGTACGTGTGTCTGATTTTTCTTTGTTCCTGATATATATCAGTACTTCCCGGTAGTCTAACTGCATGTGGCTATCTATAAACACTGCACGATGTCTCATGTACAGCCTTGTTTATTCTCTGAACGCAATCTTACCGCGTTCTATGAATCATTTCGGTTCGTTATCCCGACAAGAGCACTGCCAGGTAATTAGAAATAGAAGTTGATAGCGACGAGCTATTCTTATCAAGATACACGTTCGATCTAATTCTGGATCGATCCAAGACGTCAGCGAATTCATCCAGTGTCCGAGGAGTACTAAAGAACTTAATTTTTTCCGAGATAAGATATAAGGAACAAAGCTATCGGAAGTCACTTAGTTGTATACACACGTAGAAGGGATTAAACACCGACGACAGTGAAATACTATGCTGTTATGCATCGTGAGTACAGGTCATGGTCAACACATTTAGACCCTAGTTTAACTTGGATCAAATTATAGTAATTCCATTTAACGTAAGAAATGGAAAAATCATCAAATTGGAAAACTCAGTAATAACGGTGGATAGCGTTACAATGTACGGGCTCCTTTGCTAATATTTCAAGGCAGAAAGATTCGTAAAACGTATAGTTTCCGCGAAAACCGCCTCGCGCGGGGAATAGTAAATTAGTAGGCATGACTTGACGTAATGCATTCGTCAGAGAACGAGTAGGTGAAATCGAGCGATCTCTATTATTTACCGAAGTGAAAACCGAGACGAAGTCGTAGGCCTGGTCGCCATTGTAAATCGCGGCCTATTATACGCGCGAGCGCGCGCATCGGTCAACGGTCGGCGGCGCGCGCAACGCGCGGGAATATGAATTCGTCTGGCAATAACCCGGGTCCCCTCCGGTCGGTTATTTTTCGTTTACTTCGTTCTCACGGCCCGTGGAACCGTTCGAGCCTGAGCGACCGTCGAGCAAAAAGGCCCCGGCCTAATGAAAAGGCGTCACGTAACCCAGCGCGTGTGTTTTCGAGGGGACGATAATAGCGAGGGCCTGGTAGCGCGATTAACGAAAGCGATCTATGAAATGGACCATTGTACTGTCTCGAGAAGTGAATGACACCGGCCGGCGCGGCACGGAGGAAATTGAATTCTCCGCGAGATCCGCGACGCGCAGATTGAAATAATGCGGGGCAATAGATAACGCGATTGTGCCGTTTCTACGGCCACCCGGCGGCAAGGTTCACTCACGTGGGAGTATTTCGCGCGGCAGGTTGCTCAAAATTTCCAAGGAAATCGGCAACTTCCATCTCTCGACACGCTCCGTCGCTTTGTGTTTGCAACAATTTATTATTTATCCGTTTCGAAACGTTCGAACGTGTTTCCACCGCGAAAGAAAGTCTCGCAACTGCCATCCCCGAGACCCATTATTTTAGTCGCTTAAACGAGAAATGCTGCCGCGATAGACACCGTTAGCGAAAGAACCGTACAAACGTATGATTATACCATTGTTTCGAGAGCCCAGGCTCTTTGCAACCGAGTTTCACATAGTTGCATCGGTGAGCCGCGTCCGTCCGCGGACGGGTGAAGAGAAATCCTAGCCGGTTAACTCTCCGTACACGCGAGCGCTACATCTCAATCGCCGACGTGTTCTGTCCGCGATTCTTTCCGTCGCTCACGAAAGCGTCGGTTAATCGCTGACGGAGGGAAAATCGCGGCGAATGGAAGACCCACCGATTTTTATGGCGCCTCCAACTGCGTGGCGGACGCGAGCCTTCTTCGCGGCAGGTTTCCTCGTAACAGCTTAACGACTCCCAGCATCCAGAGCAAAAAGAGAGAGTGAAGGCTGATTCTCGCCGGCGCTGTCACTGCCAAACGATAGAATAACGCTAGAAACACGCATCGATTATACGAAAGACCGTTCGAAATAATTTATTTCAGCAAAAAGTAGCTGGGGAAAAAAATAATTGTACTGTACGTCCGCGAAGAGTTGGCGAATGAAAGGAACGCGGGTCTGATTGGTGGTCCCCGCTAAGTCGCGCACGCGCAGTAGCTCTTTAACCCTACAGCGTCTGCACTGGTAAAGCTAGTAAGCTCTGTTCCGCTCGGTGGGAATCGAGCTTAACAGAGAGACAGAAAAGAACGGAAACGCGCCGTGAAAATAGTCGCGGCACCGATGGCCGGGCTCTAATTCAAGGGTACCGGGGGAAAAAATCTTAATCATGGCGCCTCGCGAGATACGACGAGATCTCGAGGGCATTCTAGCGGTTACAGAAATATACCGGGGGAGAGAGAGAGAGAGAGACACGAGCAACCACGGCCCCGAAGAGGGCGGAGATTTAAACACTCGATATGAAATAGAGCCTATGGGGAGGGCCTGCAGAATGCAGATCTCTCTCATAACTCATGGCAGGCTACCTTGCCATAATAATTGCCGTGCACGCTCGTGGATGCATAAGCTATGAAGCCCCGTGGATGTCCGTCGGTGGAAAAAATCAGCGACGGGCAGGTGTGTCCCATCGTCCTCGGTAGCTTTTTCGCCCGCGAGACCAAAACGGAGATACCTTTCGAATTTATGGGGGAAACCAATTACAATTTTCCTGAAATCATTAAATTCTCAATTAAATTTACAAAAATTAGTAGTCACATAAATTGTTATTTATTTATACATGCCATTTAATTTAATTTCCTAAAAATTGCCTGGAAACGAGTTACAATATAGAACGAGAAGAGTCCATAAGGTGTTAAGAGCCCCTCGAGATTTATGGAGCGAATAAATGCAAATGTTGCTTAAATTTATACCTTGATCATCGCTGACCCCTCGTCTGTGGGTGTTCGAACTGGTTTCGTGCAAAAATTGATGCTGTTTTGTACCGTTAGATAAAACTTTGCCGACGGGACGACGTAAAGAAAAGTCCCACGGATCCATTGCTCCGTAAATAGAGACTAATAAAAGGTGTAACTGTACCTTTATTTGCTGATATCTTTTTACATAGTGTTACACGCGCGTACTGTTCGTCGTTGGAGTGTACTGTTCCGTACAATGAATAATAAGCTTCTTAAGGTATTAGTAAGCGCAATAAATTTGAATTGTCGTGATACGTTGGCGAGGTGGGTTCCATTTCATCCGTATCGGAAAAGTGGGTGTGGTGTGTACGCTTCGGGTAACTAGACATGTGTCTATACCGTTAACGTTGGATTATTATGAAACTGCAGAACTGCGAAGCTAATATGAAGATCGGGATCGGTGATTTTTTTACTCTGTGACTGTTAGGCCAACCAGCAATTCCGATGCAAGTGTTTTTTCTAAATTAGAATTTAAAATAAGACGCACACTTATAAAAGTTTACTTTGCAAACTGAAATAAACAACGAAAGATGGAATGGAAAGATCGAGATAATTCAACGGTGATAAACGAAACGATTCACTTAACCCTTTGCACTCCTATGTCGAGTGTGATTCGACATCAATTTTTATCTCAGGAGCTCCTTCGTCAAGTCCAAAGAGATATCGTACACTTGAAAGTTACAAAATACAACAACAGTGTAATTAAAACAGATATTTTAACAGGTAAATTTCAAATAAAACACTTAAAGGCGTTTGGGAGCTGCTGGTAACAAAATTGAAATATAATTCGGAGTGCAAAGGGTTAAAGAGCCTCAGGCTGGAGACTTCGATGCCAGAGACACACTCCGTCTTCCATTTTGACGCGAAAAACGTCGCCGCGCCACCGATAGACGCTCGGATCGAACGAGGGGAGTCCTTTCCAATAAGTAGCCCGACGTTCGTTCGAAATCCGTCCGCATAACGGTGGTACGTGATCCATCGATCCGCGGAGTGATCTATCGATCGATCGGGATGCACGATCTAATCTAGTCCCCGTGTTTCTCGTGGACCCGCGGACAAAACGTTCCCATCCGCGAAACGATCGACAATGCGCTCGGTGGACTCGCTTTCTAAATCATTGTCTGGAATTATTCCACGCAATGAACAGCGGTGAAAGAGATTTGCATTGTTAATCGAAATCGAAACAATCACAAAGCGGCTGCGGCGGCGAAAGATGAGGGATATCGATTATTCCGTTGCGCCCCCGAACGTCACAGGGTCCCGGGCGCTGTTAGATCGCCATTATCTATTCACTGCCATGGATCATCGACCTCGTTCCTTCCAGCATCGAGAAATCAAATTTAATTTGTGCCCCCCTGATTGACCATTACTTTCTATCCATGCAGATTGTTCCACGGGAACGGCAATCAATTGTAGGAAAGGCAGGTTATAGTCGAGCGTCGATCGAAGATAAGCTTTCGCATGATCGATGGAAAACCGATGGGAATTTCTGAGCGACAGAAACGATCACAATGATTATATTTTTCAAATTACAGTCAAATAAAAAAAGGATAAATGGATAAAAAAAGGATTAAAAAACGAGGAATTTTACCATTTTTATGGAGTCACATATTACATTTTCGGTAAAGAATTTTTTTCTCGAAAGGGCGTAGGAATTCATTGGTATGTCTATTCACCAAAAATGATTGTAATTAACCCCCGCAACTGAAAATAATTTTTTTTAAACGATTTGAAATTTTTTTTTTTTGTCAAAAACTCTGCTTGTCGATTTTTCTTAAAAATTCGTTTTTAATTTTAATAAACACAACCGTGGATAACTTCTTTATTTGTGTGAAGTATAATCCGTAGCATTTACCAAAGAATAGTCGGGGTTTCAAAGGACAAAATGGTTCTTATATCGATTATTTTATGATTTCTCCGTTTTATGGGACAGTCCAGAGACTTTCCGAACGATTTTCTGAATAATTACTTCGGAAACAGACCGTCGAATGAAGAAGACGTGGTTGAAATACATTAATTAGGCGAGTCGTACACGCTATGGTATCCCCATATCTAGACATGTCCATTATAACTTTCCCATTGCATGTCGATTAAAAATAACTATCGTTTCCTGGTCACTTCACATCCACGTGCTTATTTACTCTTTACAAATAACTATTCAGTTGGAAGAAGTAATCAATTTTGAAAAGAATTTAACTTGACTATTTCATCGTCGTATTTAATTTTTAGACCAATCATTTTGCAGTCCAAATACCTCGATTACAATAAAGTGCATAACAAAATATGTAATTTCGGTTTAAAAAATATTGTAGAAAATCTTCTACTCTTCTAACGTTTTGATTCGACCGACTCGCTTGGGACACCCTGTACGTGGAACAGAAAATAATTGTCGCAATGAACGGGCAATCGAACACATTCATACCGTGTGGCTAGTGGTTGTTCGATCTAGTTTTTCATCGATCGTTACGGAGCATTGGCTTGTCGTGGCGCTGACAGCGTCACCGGAGTCAACTTTAAGGGGTCGATTAAGCAATTATCCCTCTCCTCGATCGCCGCGACGTACAACATTATCCGCTTCCTGGTTACGTCCACTACCGATTACCCATAATTTTCCCAGGAAATTAATTAATACCCATCGTTAAAGCAGCTCTCGCCTATTTCGATGTCTTTGTTTTCGATCCATGTCAGCGCGTATCGATCACGACGGTCACGATCCACCGAAGAAAGATGCAAGTATCAGCGATAGTTTTTAGTCGTGTCGTGGCCCGATAATACGAATCGAAACGATCAAAATTCCAATATATTTTTATTTAGATATAAATCCCAAGGATAATTTATCGATTGCACGAAATGAAAATGAAAATTAGTACCCACGAAACGAATGAAAGGGATCGGAGATAAATCGCGCGATACGCGTTACCGCGAAACCGATAATGTATATCATCGCGTTGGCAATTTCAAGAATTTCACGCAACACGGGCTTTCTTGGATCTCGAAATTAAATTTCTATTAACCCGCCGGGATTTTTCCGCCGCGATTGGCCGTCATCATCGAATCACCCACGCCAGCCCCGAGGAAATCGACGGGTCCCGCTTTCACCGTTCGAGGGCGTTTTCTTGCGGAAAAAGCCCAAGTCGCTACATACAGGGTGTATCGCAACAACGACCACCATGGAACTCAAAAACAACGAAAACATTCGTCGCGTCCATTTTCCATTCGATCTTCAAAAAGTGATGACTCTGATCTCGTTAATGAAAACAGTTATCGAAATTTTTGTCGTCGACATCCGATGTATACTCTGTATCGATCAATTTTCGTAAAGAACTTCTTTTCTTAGATGGTTGGTGAAGGATAGAAAAATCCCGTGTAGCGAAACAGAGTACGATTTAATAAAATTAATCTGAATAAATCCGATGTATACTCTGTATCGATCAATTTTCGTCGAGAACATCTTTTCTTAGATAGTTGGTGAATTTAATAAAATTAATCTGAATAGGGAACTATATTATAGCGACTATAAAGCGAAGTTGCGGGAGTTGGGAAACTCGAATAGCGAAAAATGGCCGCTCGGTTTCGCAACCGCCTGAAGAACACTTTCTTGCGCGACAGACTGTACACACACCGATCGAGGGAACTCAAGGTGCTCGCCGTAGCCGCGAATCTTCTTTTCGTCCCCCTTTTCGCTCGTTTCCCGCGGCGATCGGCGCCGATAAACGAAATTTTTCGAGGATAAAGATCGCTTCCACGGGACGCCTGGCGTCCGTTTTCGAACGCCGCGGTGGCGCAAAAAAATCGTTTGAAACTTTGACACATCGCCGCGGCGCGCGGATAATTGTCGGCGCGCGGCGCGAGATTCCCTTATCTGCGGATAATTTACATCCGACGATCGCATCGGGCCTCCGGTAGCCAACATGCGATCGTATATTTTCTCCCGACGCGCGCGTCACGCGTGAAACCAATCGAAATGCACACACGAACTGTCCCGATTAGCGTACCGAGACCTCCAATCTCATTCTCTGCCGCAACACGGATTCGAATATGACTCGATCTTGAGAAACTCTCGAAACTCTTCACGCTTTTGACCCGATATTCTTAAACGCGTTCTTTGCGTTGAATATTCATTCGCTAAATAATTACGACCGAGTGTCGACTTAAGTGTGTATTTAATTAATGTAGTTTCACAAAACGAAGGTGCTTTTCTTAGCTCGATGGTCTTCTGCCAAAAAGTGTCCTCCTCAGGTAGTACTGACCTTTGCAAGGGAGGAGATTGCACCAATGGATACAAATTTTCATTAAAACTACATGCATGCAATGTTTATTCTAACACTTTGGATTCTTTTTGTCAATTTATAACGTGTAGAATAATTATTTTATTTTAAAATTAAAATTTAATCTTGATCGATCGAATAAATAAAAGCTTGAAATTTTGCGGGTCTCTGGGCGGACTGTACGCCGTCGAAGGCGTTTATCAGCCGCCATCGACGGGTCGAGCGAAGAATTCCGGTGGCCCTTGTACGATATCGCTTAAAACGCTGCTCGCTGAAATTCTTCCGATCGGATTTTTCCGAGGGCAGGTGCGATAAATTTTCCGCGGCGGAACGGCCGCTCGAATCGCTTCTCCATCGGCATTGTCCGGCAATAAAACTTTCTCGAGCGTAACGGCCAGCTAATATAACGAGCATCCTTATTTGCTTGTTTCTGCGCGCGCCTAGCACCGACGCCGCTCGCTACGAGGTGTTTATGTGTTTATTTATCGTTCGTTTATTGCTTCTGTTTTGGCGCAGGGGCTACTGTGCGTGCTCCGTTCCGTGTCGCTCGTTCCCGCGCGATTCTGAGCCACTGCAGCGAGAAATTCTCAACCAAAAAAAATACGGTCACGCGGCGAATCGTCGAACAAAATTATATTACTTACGCTCCAACTATTTAAAGTTTGATCCTTTGTTAAAAGTGTCCTTCAGAATTTTTCCACCATTTTTATTTACAATTTTTTGATTCTCGAAGTGGATTTTTAAAAGCTTCCCAGGGGCCTCTGTCGTCTTGGACGCGGTTGCACGGGCGAAAGTTACGCGTCATTGTCAGCGATCGACGTAATGACAGAGCGGCGCGACGCCCTGCGTCACCGCGTCAAATCGGAATTGTCGTTACTAACTGGTTCGGGACTTTCGCGCATTAGCCGCGTTTTCTATTTCGCGGGAAACTCCGCGCTCGACGTTCCCCTAACCAAACGTGGATGTTTCATTTCGCAGAGAGCATCAACACACCATAAATAGGGATTAGGGATCGAACAAGGGGTTGTACAATTTTTCATTGGCTTCAAGAAAATAGTTGTACTTGTTCAAACTTTCCACTCATTCAATCTCGCGTGCACAGTAATGATTCGTAAAATCAACAACACTTCTATCCCTTCCAACTGGTAGGATCTCCCTTTAACAAACATTTCACGAACGTTCATTTTAAGAATGATCGGAGCGCAGAGGACTCCAACGGAGCCAACATCGAAGAACAAAGCACATTTATCCGAACTTATCGAAGAAGCTAATCGAATCTCGACGGTACTATCGCACGTAAGGACGGTTTTCTCTCGGGTCAGAGTCTATATTATTCGAGCAACTCAACCGGGGGATTAGAGACCCCGGTCGTTCTCCGTCGCGATTTTTATCGCCGCGAATTAATCTAAAATTTCAATTTCCTCGGTTCGTCCGACGGGCGCCAACTCGCGCGACCGAAGACAGGGGATAAATGAGCCACGTAAATCACACGGCGAAACGTTGTGGCAGCAAGTAAGGCCCCCGGGCCGTAAGATAAAAAGAAACGAACGATTTGAAGAATTAGCGGGAATTTTAGCCGCAGCGACTGTTTCACCGTCGCCCGGGCATTAATATCGCCCGCTGCCTCCTAGAGATCGATCTCGGTCCTGGTGTACGGTTTCAGTTATCGTTTCACGGATCGCCCGAGCCAAGGACGCTAGGCTAGATCCAACGATTACTCGTCCGAGTAACCGGTAAGATCTCTCTCGATCCTCGAAGAGGACTGACGGATCGATTTCATTATCCTCGCGGACCGAGCTCGTACGTCTTCTCTCGCGGGGCCCCCTTTCGCCTAAGCCCTAGCAGAGCCCACGAGTGCCGGCCCGATAGCGGATTCAGGAATGCCTTCTCCGCGGCTATCGTTCATCAACGCGTCAGTATAATCTCGTTCTACTCTGTTACAGATTTCCTGTACCGGCACAGCGTTACCATCGATAACGTTAGTACCGAGGTCGAGATACTGGACACTTCCAGGTGCGAGGTAAGTCCCTCCATGTTTTTCTACGTTTCGTTCCGTTCGGGGACTCGACATTTTCGCGGCTGGCTAGCCAGATCGCTCCGCTCTCGAGCTCTCTGTACGCTCCGTGGCCAGAGCTCGACCCGCTGCCGGTTAATTTCACTCGGCCGAGACGAGTTTATGGTAATGAAACCGACGGGGGGAACGCAGACGAGGGGGAGGCACGGGAATTCTAACGTAGGAATGTGTTCTTATTGACTTTCTTTTCTGCGAAAGCTACACAGGGTGAGTTTGCTTGAGCACGACCGACCGATAGAAAACTCTCCTCTCTCGTTAATCTTATTTTTTTTTCGACGAGGGGAACAGTTCTTTTCTTCGACTTCTTCTTTTGCATCGATGACATACACGGCTGAAGAACGTTTCGATAAACTACCCTGCTTGGCGACAATTTTACGTTTTCTTCGCGCGCGAACGATGCACCGTGCCCCGTATGCGTGTCACGGGGGCGTGTCGCGCGGGTACCCCCGTGCCCCATATACGCGACACGGGCATAGAACGAATTGAAAATTTACCTACTCAATTTCTCAACCCTTTGCACTCCGAATTATATTTCAATTTTATTACCAGCAGCTTCCAATGCTTTCAAGTGTTTTCTTAACTAAAAAATGGGGCTATTTAAACAAGCAGAGGAACAAACAAATTCAATTAAATATCTGTTTTATTTACATCGTTGTTGTATCTCGCAATTTCCAAGTGTGTGATATTTCTTTGGTTCGGACTTGAAAAAATGTCGAGTGGGAGGGCAAAGGGTTAATATCCGGATCGTACAGTTCTCGTCACAGGGTTAAAGGGAAACACCTGATCGAGCCGCGAATATATTCTATTTACTGTCGTTTCGCGTATTAGCAGGTATCTCCCACGGAATAAATCATCGTTTTCTCGCCGAACGTATCGCAATATCTTTCGAGCGGACAAGCACGCGCAACGTTTAAAACGGAGAGATTTCCGCTGGCGTGGATCACAAATTATTCGTGGGAAAAATAAAAAAGAGAGAGAGAGAGGAAAGAAAAATACTCAGCACCTAATGATCCCGGATTATTGATGGATACATGACATAGATTGCCGTTAAAATCTCACTCGGACACGGCGGCGCGGTGAAAATGTACATTTACGGCCGTACGTTTATTTGACAGACTGATTTGCCCGGATGAGTTATGCCTTAGTTGCGAGCGTTTCGTACCAGCTGTAAATTATCCGACGCTTGCAACGGGATCGTCGACTTCGATTTCTGTTTTACGGCGGTTGACGGAACGACCGACACCAAGTTTCCACGCGAATCCCCACGCTTTCCACATCTCTTAACCCTTTTGTAACACCCCTTTATAAAATTCCGCAAACAAAAGTTCTCGTTACGCACGAATGCAGAGAATACAATGGAAGCTATTTTCCTTTAGATAAATACACTGCCTAAAATTGCAATTAACCCTTTGCCCCACAACCACGTGTGAGACTCGTAATCAGATATTCGAACCAAATGTAAACACCACCTACCATCATGGAATGGCGCAAAGGATGGGTAGTTTTGTTTAAATTTTGCACTCACATTGTGGAACTTTAATTTAATTTCCGGACGAAACAAAGCTCTGGTCGTTGACCTTCTCGATAGTACCGATTCGATCATCGAAACGAGCAAACAAACAGTCAAAACGTTTCAAAGACGGACGCGCGTCGAAGTCGCTAATAGTCGGTGGGCACCGTCGGTTGGACATCTTTAGCAATCAGTGTCAGGGACAACGCGAACAACAAAATCCGCATTCTGTCGGTTGGTTTATGTACTCTTGCTGGCATAATTCTCGCCCGGGCAGTCGTTAGAAAACCCGACGGTGCCCGGAGGGCGTGCGACAAACGCATTCTCTTCGTTTCAATGTCTCCTTTTGCATTTTTTCCCCACCTTTTCTTCCGTTCGTCCCCACGAGCGTGTGGCGGAGAAGCGGCGTGGCATCAGCGCCTTTTATATTTATCTTCCGTCGACGGCTGTAAACACGACTATTTCAGTTTATGCACTCCGGGACTAACCGCGGCGCTCGAGAAGACGAGAGACTTTTCTTTTTCTTTCTTTTTTTTTTCCGTTTCGCTCCTTTCCCCTGGGCGTTAGGCCCCGTTGTTCATTGTGAAAGTCACGATGAATCATTTGCTTGCTGGGCAAACTCAGCCGGGACGCGCGTTTCGCAATAAGCTGCCGTTCGTTTAGCAGCTTTTTGCCCCGCGCGAATACCGCGACCCGTCTTCTTCCCTCGGTGGAATTCGCCAAGGTAAACAGTGTACCTCTGTTCCCGATGAAATTGTAATCGTATCGTGCGTTCCTCGACGACTCGGGGAACAGTGAGATTTGTTCCCGCGCGACGTGACTTGTTTTCTAAACATTTAGCAACTCATTAAAGGGATGGAGTATCTAATAGAACGACAATTCGTCCCTTTTTGATTCCGTTGTCGAGACCACCTAGGTATGGCTATTCTAGATAAGGATCTATCTGTGGTTGGATGTTTAGAACGTATTTATTATAATTGCATAACGTTGGTAAAAAACTATTTTACAAGAAATCGATACAATAATAATGATTTGCCTCAGAAGTCTTTTCATCAGTTTCACACACGTCGCTCTTTCGTTCACTCTTCAATCATAAAGTATACAAACTATTTAGACCATTCACTCATCTCTTATACAAAATATCGCTCACTTCATATCTATGACAACCAGTACCACACTATCGACCTCACAAATTTTATTAACATGACAGGAACAAAAATTAAAAGAAGACTGCAACTGTTGTTGCAAGTAAGTTTTCTCTTGGATCCGTACGATTCCAGCAACTCATCCGGGTATTAGGATTAGGATTACGGAGGAACCGTACTCTGTCGACCACGTGCGCCGTAAAGCAACGAGTCGAGTCGATATTGAAGCAGTGTGGGACCTAAACCGCCGTATTAGCGAGGTATTACCGTACACTCCGGAAAGGAACAAACCGAACAATCGGCACGGATGACGTGACCTTCTAATACCGAATGATTTATACACGGTTTTTGAGCAATTCGATTGGCGTAGCGGTGGCAATAATTTACGGACGCGGAGAACAATGGGTCTCCGGGACGGTAATAGAAAAAGACCACGGGCAGAATCTCAATGAGGATTCCGGTCTATCCGCGTCAGGTGAACCACACGGCGATCCGTGAACGTGGCCCCGACCGATCGGTCGCGCGTGCGCCCTGCGACTGTGTGCGCGCGCAGCAGAAGTAGCAGCCAAGCAGGCAGTCGCCTAGATTCGAATTTAAAGGCGATCGTTATTCAATTCAAATACGCGGCTAACGGGCCTTGTCGTAGGATTTCCGCTTCGACGTTCGCGTGCAGTTCGTTACCGTATTCTAGAAGAATCGGGTTAAGGAAGGTCAGGTCGGTACGATCGACCTGAAACCGGCCGATTCCGCGGAGATTTGGGTTAAGTAAGGTCAGGCTGGTTCAAACGAACGACGATCGCCGAGGTCCCGAGCCTCTCGCGGTGCTCCTTTTTCGGGGTTTGCACACTTTTGGGTGTCGACGACCTTCCTTGCGCCCCGACCACGTATGCTTTCGACGATCATTTCTTCTGTCTAGCACAGCGGTGCCCAACCTCTTTCGTTACACCAAAATCTATGGCTAAATCAAACTAGAATTATTCTAGAATTTTTGTCTGTTTCTTTGCTCAGGGATTCTGATCGATTCCATATGCAAAAATATAATAAATATAGAAAAAGCTAGCATTTAATTGCATCACGAGTCGCTGTAAAATTGCAAGGAGCAAATTTATTCCGTCGACCCATCGAAATCGGGGATACTCGGGGGTCTTTTTAAATCTGGAGTTTTCGAGGATCGGTCGAGGCTCGAGATTCGTTCCAGCTGATTAAATAATAATAAAAAGGACGAACGGCTGGCACGGTCGCGAGCGCACGCACACACCTGCACGTTCCCGCGTCTCCAAAAGGAATCCAACACATTCCTTATACGTTGCTCGTACTCACGGTACACTGACTCGTCCCGTCTTATTCGGTAGCCCCGCAACAAGACACGATCGAGCCCAGGTTGTTTTTAGCAAACTGGTTTTTCTACCCGGGGCTTACAATTACCGGCTTCCTTTTTTGCGCTCTGCTCCCCCGAATGTTTGCACCTGTCGCTTAAAAGGCTACGGAGCCATGGGCCAAGATGGCATACCTGGCGTTTCGGATTAGTACAACGGATCCGAAGTAAGAATTTTTCGACCCGTCCGGCTCGTTGTGAAATTTTCACGATTCATTCATGAAACTCCGAACGACTCATTCATAAAGATTCAGATTTTCGTGCCGCGCATACAAAGTCCATACAAATGCATACAGAGTCCCCAGCAACGATTGAAAATTATTCCCTAGATAAAATCGAATCGAAAATGTGCAATAATATTTTTCTCTACGATGGCCCATTTTCGAGGAAATTAATATCGAAATCACTTTGGGGCACGCGAGCATTTCCTTTCGATTCTCTATAACACTTGTATAGAAGGAATATATTCATAAAAATTGAATCGAGAATGTGCGATAATATTTTTCTCTACGATGGCCCATTTTCGAGAAAATTGATATCGAAATCGCTTTGGGGCACGCGAGCATTTTCTTTCGATTCTCTATAACACTTGTATAGAAGGAATACGCAACGTGACGTAAATCCAGTAAAAAATTTGAGAGAAATTTTTGTAACATCGTTTGTATAGAAAATTCAGTGATCGATTCGAGTAATCGGTGCGCTATTCGCGGTAAACGCATTACGCGCCAATTTAGTTGCAACAATCCTTGAATAAAACCTCCTCGAAACAAGCGACACCGACGCGTCGTCTCGTAATGCGATTCTATTTGTATCGCGAACCGTGGTCCGCGTGCGTTTCACACATTCGTGGAACGCCATTTCAATGGCTACAAGTTGCACCATACGGCGCGTACCACGATGCCACGTCGTCCGGTGT